GGCACCCATTCACTGCAGAGCATCCATTGCTGAGACACTGATGGAGGTTTATAAATGAGGTTTAGTCCTGTCCAGCAAGGAGTCGCTTCAGACCTCAGAGAAAGTCCTTGACCAGAAAATACACACTTTTATACTTGATGATCATGTTTAAAACAACCAATAACAATTTGATTGGTTCCACTCATAATGGCCTGACTTGCAGCTGATAGTTTTCCCACTTGAGTTTATTTAATCATGTGATAAGCATGCCGTTTCTGCATGGCCTTAATAAAGCTACGGGATTCATGACACTCGTTCCAGTTTCCTCTCAGGCCTTGACCTTCATAGAACCATAAGCACACGCAAGACATATATATACTGTATGTCAACATCAGCATATTAGTTTAAGTTAAATCCCTAACACTTCCATTATCAGTCCTTTAAAGAAAACATTTCATTCTCTGCCACAGCTGTTAAATATACAGACCCCATTACATCAGAATCAAAAATACAGATGTTTTGCAGACTTTGTGTTCAGTAAATCCATGATAAGATCCCTGAAATAATCTTTTTAAACTAGGGGAAAAGTACCAATGCAGTATCATCCCTGCTGACGAAGAACAGCTTGCAGAGTTGTAAAAATAACAATTTATAAATATATTCACACCTGCATTCAAAATGACAAGTGAAAATATTTGTTTCTGCAGCAAATATGTACATTTTCAACCTCCACATTATCACTGTTTATTGAATAAACGTCTGAATCTGTTTGCTGAATCAGTTGCTGATGCAAAGTAAAAGATTCTAGTCTATAATTACCAAGATATTGATTTTCTTTTCAGACATTTGCGAATCAAATAGTTTTGTTGCAACTTATGCACAAAAAGTATATGCATTTCTGTTTTGTTCTTTCACGTCTTTATTTGAGGTGATATAATAATGTTTTGCAGTATATGATGTTTGAGCTCTAACACTCTGCATGCATCTTTAATAACACAGTCCTGTTGACATATGTATATGTGACGTCTGGTTACAGAGACAAAAGCAGGTCAACATCCCGACAGTCTTGAGTGAAAGTGGAAGGAACTTTCTCAACACTGTCAGTATTTGTCCTCTGTCTGTCTGGGATCCTTGAGTTTCTGGAACATTCTGATTGTCCTTCACTAACCCGGTACATTTCCACTGTCTCAAAGTGCTTGAAAAGTTTCCTTGGACTCTTTGCCGAGTCACAACATTTTTCTTATCTGTTTTGAAATGTGTTTACATGCTTGATCCTTCACACGATTCCTGTCTAGGCCTGGATGACCAGATATCATGTGATAAAGGCATTAGAAACAATGCACTGAAATTGTGCCATTCTGATGCGAGGATTACAAATGCTGTTTAGAAATTAATT